CTTCTTCCTTCGTCGCCAAGAAAGCTCTCTACTTTGTTCTCATCAATTCCAAATGTGACTAATCATGCACCATCAATGGTTTCTGATGATATAAAGAGTCAAGAACCACCTCCTCCACCGCCACCTCCTCCTTCGTCAATAGTACCTGATAGAAAAAGCTCAGCGCCACCGCCACCGCCTCCTCCTCCTCCACTGATTCTAGATAGAAAGAGTCTTGCAACACCGCCTCCGCCTCCTCCTCCTCCGCTGTCAACTAGAAAGATTTCTACTCCACCGCCACCGCCACCACCGAAGACAAGTGGATTGAAGTTGAAGTCATCATCAAAACCACCACCTACCCCTCTTGAAACAAAATCTACCAACAATAAACAAGGGAGTTCTTCAAGTGAAGTGAAACTAAAACCATTGCATTGGGATAAGGTGAATACTAATCTTGATCATTCTATGGTGTGGGACAAAATCGACGGCGGTTCATTCAGGTAATCCTAATATTCTATATTTTCTTAAAATAACAAAACTAAATTTTGATCATCTGATTCATTGGTCGGACTTTATTTATCTTTTGGCCGAACTCCGGATCATCAGGTCATGGCCTGAGAACCGGAGGGCTAAGACAAAAAGAATGTTCATCGATGATTTTTTTCAAATATTTTCAGGGTTGATGATGGTCTTATGGAAGCTCTATTCGGGTATGTTGCGGCCAAACCAAACGGTAACACTTCAAAAGGAAAAGAATCAACAAGTCCAAGCAAGGATACATCAACAAATGCTTTCATTCTTGACCCTAGAAAATCACAAAACACTGCTATAGTTTTGAAATCTCTTGCAGTCTCGCGAAAAGAAATCATTGATGCACTCGTTGATGGCCGAGGCCTTAATGCAGATACAATTGAAAAGCTTTCAAGAATCGCTCCAACAGAAGAAGAACAATCTCACATACTCGAATACGAAGGAGACACAACAAAACTTGCAGCAGCTGAATCTTTCTTGTACCACATCCTCAAAGCTGTTCCTTCGGCATTTAAGCGCTTGAATGCGATTTTATTCAGGTTGAATTATGACTCGGAGATCAAAGAAATCAAGGAGATTCTACAGACACTTGAGATGGCGTGTAAGGAGCTTCGAAACCAAGGAGTTTTTGTGAAACTCCTTGAAGCAGTTCTTAAGGCCGGAAACCGCATGAATGCTGGTACTAATCGAGGTAATGCTCAAGCTTTCAACTTGGTTTCTTTAAGGAAACTCTCTGATGTGAAGAGTGTTGATGGAAAAACCACATTGCTACACTTTGTGGTCGAAGAAGTGGTTCGTTCCGAAGGGAAACGCGCGGTTCTTAACCGCAGTCATAGTTTGACTCGTAGTTTCAGCAGGAGCAGGAGCAGCAGCAGCATCGGGGACTCTAAGAATTCCGCTACCTCGAATGAACAAAAACTAATGGAATATATAAAACTAGGATTACCAATTGTAGGAGGGGTCAGTGCCGAGTTTTCCAATGCAAAGAAAATTGCTTTAACAGATTACAATAGTTTTGTTGGTTCTATTTCAACACTCTCTGCGAAGATAGTTGAAATTCGACAACTTGTTTCGCAGTGTGGAAATGATAAAGGAGGGAAGTTTGTGAGAGAGATGAACCATTTTCTTGAAAATTCTGAGAAGGATTTGCAATTGGTGAGGGAAGAACAAACAAGGATAATGCAGCTTGTTAAGAGAACAACAGATTATTATCAAGGAGGGGCTTCAAAAGACAGTGCAGGAGAACAGGCTCTTTATCTATTTGTCATAGTTAAGGATTTTCTCGGAATGGTTGATCAAGCGTGTATCGAGATTGCGCGTAACATGCAGAAAAAGAAGACATCTAAGGCAAAGTTCTAAAGAAAAATCTACGAGCAATTTGTCCATGACATCGAGATTTTCCGTGTTTCTTGCGACATCAATGCAATTGCGATGGATGCTGCTGTATTAGTCATGTTTGACTGCAATTTTCCACAACATCGAGAACTGTAACGTGTCAGCGGCCGCAACTTAAAACCTTGTATGACAAGTTAAAGGTTGAAGTCGGCAGAGGCACTAGCACAAAGGACTCTTTGATGTTACCTGCTGAAACATAGCAGGTCAGAGAATTCTAGAATTGGCCTAACTAAATTCAACTTTTTCTTATGAGAACATTTAGACAAAGGAACTGAAATTCTGCCATGACAGGGCCAATTTGTGTCTGGAAAACTAAGCTAATATGTCCTTTTCCTTGTGATATCATCATTTTTCCACATTTCAACGTCTAAATGTATGTGTTACATGTATAGAGAACTATTGCTCATTAGCATTTTTGAAGTCTAGTGTATATACATGTTGGATTCTTTTGGCAAGAACCAGAACTTTGTCCATATCTTCTTGCTTTCTATAGTATTTGGGGCATTCCAATGCAAGGATTATGTTTAAATTCTTATCTTCCTTTCAAGAGATCCCACCATTTATATTATATTTTTTTTTAGTAGCTATAGTAATACATTTTTGCTTAGAAGAACAATTCTCCAACCTTACATCCACTTAACTACACAAAATATGTTTTGGTTTCAAAGATGGGTGAGTACAATGAAACATGGTTTATAATACATTGCCGGTGTTGTCAATCAAACAACAAGAACCAAATTTTATCTCACTAAGTAGAATCGGTTATATGGATTAATTTTTGCCATAATGTTTGATTCATAACTATATTTTTATGCAAATCATTAATCTTAAGATCTTTCTTAATAGCTTCTCTTAAAGTCTTTTTTAGGTCTTCATCTTCCTCTAGTTGTTTGATTTCTCTACATCTGATATACTCTTCTTACCACAGAAATCTACAAGTCTTTTCTCTACATGTCTAAACCACCTAAGTCTATTTTTCATCATGTTAAAACCAACTAAGTCTATTTTTCATCATCTTCCCTACTATAGAGGTTACTCCAACACTTCTATGATATTTTCATTTCTAACTATATTATATCTAGTCTTACGACTCTCCCAACACAACATTCTCATCTCAGCTACACTTACTTTATTTTCGTATTTATTATAAACCGCACAACATTCTATCTCGTACAACACCGCATGTCTTACTACAATCCGATAAAAAAATTTCTTCAACTAAAACGGTACATTTGCGTCACATAAAACCCTAACGCCCTTCACTCATTTTAAATTCGATGGTTTACATCGTCTTCAAGATATTTAAACTTTATACCTTAACGGATGCTATGTTCTCCAACTTTTAGAAACAATTTTTCTTTCGTTGAACTTTCATTCCATATACTCAATCAGAAAACCATGTGTTGTAATCAATGATAACGAAAAATTTGCTCAAATTCCACTACACTATAGTGTTATAGGACTGCTATAACATTAGCAGTTTGATAACATTTTGCACTAAATGGCATATCGCTTATAATTTTGTTATGCTATATCAACTATTTAACAACAGCATGCATTGTTTTAGCTTTTTAAGAGAGATGTGGTCTACAACACGTTAGAAGCATATCAGTCCCCATATAGACAGAAAAATGATGCAGCCAATTGCAAGAAAATATATGCATTTTCGACATTATTACGGATATCATACAATAACATTTCTAGTTCGAATTTCATAGAAGGCACGCGAAGAGGAAAACATGTCATCAATAAATGATGCATACTCCTTCCTCCTACTCCTCACCATGTTCATAATTAAGCTCCTATTTAACTAGAAGAACATTGCTCCACTATTGCTTACTAAACTAGAATATCATAGTGTTGAATTGTCTCCATTGACATTTTCCCTGAACACATACTACCATACACACTGACGTATTTAGTTTCTATTTCTTTACTCCCCTCTTTACCTTCACCATTTGTGCAGCTACCGACAGTTCTCAGTTTTCGCATCACCCTGCATGAGTAGTCATGAAAACAGGACACTATCAGCTGCAGGCATATACAATCAAGCCTCAGAACTCAATCGAACAAAATACTCAGGCTACTATTATAAACAAATATTCATTTTTCAAATTCATTGAATAACTGATGTATCTGGTCATTTAAGGTCAAATACGTTATTCAATGAATCTGAAAAATGAAATATTTGCTTATTTAGTGACATTTGCTTATTTAGTGACCAGAGGGAGTATGAATGAGGGTGATTTTGAGACTATCAAACATGATTTTCCTTTCCCGAAAAAAGAAATATTTTGTAACTTTTGCATTTGAATAATAAAATCATGGTTTTGATTCAAAATCAAATTTGTACAAAATTGGCAAACATGTCGCCGCATATTCCAAACCACATTCAACATATGCTTTTAAAGATGGTATATGTTTTCTTATTGAGTGAAATTTATATGGGCCTTGTTTTCTATGTGAATCTTAATAAAAGTGTGTTCCAATAGCATTTCTTAGGAAATTATTTAGATGGTTTAATGAGAAACAGTAGAGGCTCATGGCATTGTTTAGGGAATGGATCCTCTTATGTGAAGATGAGGAAGTGTAATCTCTCACCATTCAGAAAAGATATAAAAAAAGGGCGGGTCCACCTCTCCCGAATTTGAATGGTGAGATATTACATCTCTCGTGATCCTATGATTTTTTATATACGAGCAGATCTATTCCCGAATTTTTAGAGTACCACAATCCTAGAAATCTTGTTTGACTGTAAAAAAGAACTTTCATCATAATCTAGTTGTATGGACCACCACCAACCCATATGCTCATTTGGCAGAAAACATGTTAATTTTAAAAGCAAAACAAGACAGCCAGGTCCCATAGATTTCCCTAACTTGATTACAATTACCAACTCAAGGTTTAATTTAAGCCAACTTCAATTAAAAGTCAAGTTTCAAATTTTAGTCATTTTCACGTGTCTCGTGATTGCAATCATTCAGCTGTTACCAAAAGTTATGCTTCAGATTGCTTTTTAGAATTAAGCAACACATAACTTTTCAGTTCAGATATGAATATGATAGATATCAGTTCAGAGGTATAGAACATACCTTTTATGTGCGACTTTTTGATGCTTTTTGACCACGATTAAAAGTTGATAGGGATGTGGCCTTGAAATCATGTTTTAGCTTTTTCATTTCTGCTTCTTTTTCCTCCTGTATTCAGACATGTTAGTCTATGAAAATAGAAATGTCCATTCATACCCCAGATCATCGGCCCTAATATAAAGTACATGCATGTTTAGTTTCACAGTGGAAATTATCGGAATTTATTGTCTCTATTATCAAATGTGATTTTTGTATAGGACGAAAGTTCAGTCACTGAGTAAAATTGATTTTGCATCCAAAGCTCAATTTGACCAGAAATGATAAAAGTAGCTTTTGTGTTTAGTTTGTATAATTGGCTCTTAGTGGAAAAAAATTAACTTTGAATGAATTGATTATGTAAAATAATTTAGTAAAAAGTGAGCTGAACAAGTGTGACAATTTAGCAGATCGGCGTGACCGTTGAGCGAGAAGCTCCAAGTTCAAGCTTTATAAAACCAATGAGTATGCCTTGAGTAGTAACAGTGATTAGTCCATCGTGACTTTAAACATAGTCATAGGGCCAAAAATCAATTCTATAGGCAAAAACTCCAAATCTCAACTTCAACTTAAAATCAATACTACACTTCAACAGTCACTTTTGTCTCTCCCTAAATTGAATTCAAACATTACACGATATTTTATATCAAATTTGCTTCTAGATTAGAAACACTCAAACATAAATGACTTCAATTTAAACTCAACTTTAACTAAATCAAATTTCAAAAATTAATTACGAGCAAATCACATTGTATTAAATGCTCACCCAAACACACGACAAGTATCATCTCCTTAGTTACCTTTTAAACTATCATCTCTAATGCACTAAATATAAGCAAGCACACTTAAGTGAAGCCAACGAAGGAATATAGGAAATGTCAGTCATTTTGAGAGAAACACTGGAATGAGGAAGAGTACCTTCAATTTTGTTTGGAGACGCGTTCTTTGTACCGCATTTGTATTAGGTTTTTCCTCTATTTTTCTCGAGGACTAATTAGCATGAAAGAAAAAACATCAGTTAGTCCGACAAAAACTACAAATAAGGGGTAATTTCAATTTTTAACATCAAGAGGTAGTCCTACCTCTTTCCCTTTCTCTGATTTGGTGTCACTTTTTGGGCCCATAGTCCGTACAGCGTTTCCACTTCTTTTGTCCATCCTCTCAACCGTAGTTGGCCTATTCAAAAATAATTACCAAGAGAGTCATCATGCATAAAATTTAATTCCATATACTTTCATCCAAATAGATCTTTGTCGGATAAAAAAACCTTATTCACTGTGTTGGTGAGATGCATAAATAGTATGAAATTCGTATGCAAAAAAACGGTTATGCAAAATGCATCAATTAAATTAATGTGCATATAAGTCAATAAAAGTGAAGATTCAAAAACTTACTGTCCATTTTTGTTACGCAAAGCTGTAGATGTTGAAACCTTTGACGCAGTCCCCCTTGAAGGAACCTGTTCACGTTATACGTAAAAAAACCATTTTCAAATCAATGTTGTTTTCCTACAGATAAATATTGCCAATAACACCATCTATTAACAATGAACTACAGTTGTCCATAAATATTTTCTAATTACCTGTTTTTTTACCGAAGACCTGTCTACTTCACTGGAAGCTTTCAGCTGGTTGAAACCATTCTGGAATGTCTTAAATGCTCGTTTGACTATGTCTTTATCCCCCATGCTCTCCATGATGAGAGATTTCCTCATAGTGGTATGAGGAACTGGTTTGACTATGTCCTTATCCCCCATGCTCTCCATGTTGAGAGATTTCCTCATAGCGGTATGAGGAGCTGGATCGGAATTACTTGGACCTAAGCTCATAGACATGTGCAAAGATAGGTTAGCAGCTTTTTTGTTCTCCACACTTGAAGTAATTTGTCTCTTGGGTAAAGATGGCGAATTTCCTTTTTTAGTTGAAGAAGCAGACGTCGATGTTTTAGTTGGATTTGATATCAACTTTGAACTTCTCGGTGTCGAAATTTGAGATGCCTTAGATTTTGGTTGCACCGGTTTCTTCTTTGTTTTGGCTACATTATTTTCCCTATTCACAGAGATAACCTAACCAAAATAGACAGTAATTAAACACTCAACCTTTAAGAAATTTAACATTACGATTTCGCTAAATATGAATCAAATCAAACCTTAGATTCATTAGGATGATCCAATTTCACAACTTTCTCTTCGACTTGTGTAGCCTTTTCTGTTTCCTTGTACACAACATGTGAAATTTCCTTCACTTCTTCCGCTTCAACGTCGAGACTTTCTTCTAGTTTTACACACACATCTTCTTTAGGCTCATCTATCTTGTAGGAACCATGTGATCCATTTTCTTCCTCTTTGTTCTCTACCACCTCAACGAGTGAACTTTGATAATCTCTATTAACCGCAACTTCCCCCTTCAAATCATCCACTCGACTCTGGCTGGTTTCACCAACCGAGCTGATTTCGATTTCTTGAGTAACGCATTCCTTAGTAGTACCTTGAGTTTTAGATATACTGAATTCCGAATCAGTCTCACAAGCATTAACGTTGCCGTTACTACTTAGATCTATACCATTTTGATCTTCTGATCTGAAAGAATCTTTCTGAACTTCCTTCTCTTGAGCCAACAATTCAGCTTTCCGAGCCGCAATCTTCTTGTAATGAGCTTCAAAGTAAGCTTTCTTCTGTGCTACTGATCCAGGTGTTGCACACTTCTCAACTTCCTCCAAGTACTTATTAGGAGAGAAAGAAGACCATCTCTCCCAAGACAAAGAATCATTCTCAAATCTACCAAAAGAAACAGACACTTGCAAAGCAGAATTTGAAGCAGTTGTCTCACCCATCTAATCAAACAACAAAACAACATTTTTACACTCATTCAAACAATTTCACAAACACTTAACAAACAAAAAAACAACACTAAAATTTTCACAATCATAAATTTAGGTATTTATATGATCCAACCCTAGAACAACAAGACAGATTTGCAAGAAACAATTATAGTAAAAAAAATAAAAAAATAAACCAAAATTAAAATTCATACCAAAAACAAATTAATGAAAAAAGTATTTACCTTATCTTGAACAAAACTCACTTATCTACAACCCAAAAGAGTTGGAAAGATGAATTATCATTTTTTCTAGAGATCTAACTGAACTGATCAAGATTGAAGAAAGAATACTTCACAATGAGACAAAAAGAGGACTATACAATAATTTTGCAGCAAATGATGAGTAAAGAAAAACATATGCATGTGGATTTAGGACTGAGAGAATAAGAAAATAAATACCCTATTTTATTTTCTTCTTTATTTCAATAATTTCCACTTCACCTTTTCTACAGTAACACCACTGTTTGTCTTGTTGTGGTACTTGAGGAAAATCCTAAGAAATATTAAATAATTATAATATTAATTGATGAAGTGAAGTGTAAAGTAATTTCAGGGTTGGAATAATTGTAGATCACAACTGCATTTTGTGTTTCTTAAAAGCTGATTTAACTTTTGTGTGTAATAAGTACCTCTTTTTTCTTTGGTGAGGGCCATGCTTGAAGGAGTTTTAACTTTACAGGTCATATTATTGCATTTGAAAATTTAAAAAGAATTTTATAAAATAAAAATCAGCATGACTGACTAAAGAGGGAAAAAATCTAAGACTCTGTACTAAAATTAAATATCTTAATTAAAATGTATTAAAATGTTATTTATAGATTCAATTTTAAAGTGCCAAGAAAATTAATATGTAGAAATTTGAATTTGCAGTCTAAGTCAGTGTTTGTAATTATGTAGGGGCATAAATTTTAGGAGGCGAATTTAAATCACAATATTTCATTTATTATCTTTAAATTGTGAATTTATGACTATTAATTCCAAAGCAAATGCAAAGTACTTAATATATAGTAGCTCTTTTTGCCCATTTAAAAATAATCTAATGTAAATAGGAGTATTTATTTAATTGTAATAATTTAGAGGATTAAGATAAACAAGTGTATTACAAAATATACTTTAGTTTGTTAAGTATGAGCATGAGCATTTGCGATGCATTTTGAATAACTTTTTATCGAAAAATTAATAATCAAAAAATAATTGACTAATAGAACAATATATTAATAAAAAACATTAATTTATATACACATATGTGTAATTTAAAATATATTTCTATTCAACTGATTTTTACAAAAATTGCATTCAAATATTTTTTAAATAATTTAATAATTATTAAAAATTAATAAGTAGAATATCTTGGATTCAAATTCATACTTATGTGATATTCATGTTCATTTAGTTTAATAAAATAAATTATTTAAATATATTAAATACTATATAATTTTAAGAAGTTTTTAATTTTTTTATAAATTTAAATTTAAATAGACTTAAATTTCAACACTTAAGAAAAAACAAAAATATTATTGAGTCGGTAGTATGATTAGAAACTTAATAACAACATTGAATCGGTATGAATGTATGATTAGATGATTAGATTAGATTTTAGATGTGGATGTTGTAATGAAATAATAAGAAATGCAAGGCAAGAAAGGAAGGGGCCACATGAAGGATGTAAAAGGTTCCATGTGACAGGTCTCATATCTTTATTGTAGATGTTCATTGGGCCACATGTGGACCATTTTATTCAATTACTTCAACTCAAAAACTTTATAATAACCAAATTAATATTAATAATAGAATGGGATAAAAACAAAAATAACTATTTTTTTTATAAAAAAATTTTAAATAACTAAGTTTTCAAAAAATTTATTAAATTGACTACTTTTCAAATAAAAAAAATCGTTACACAGAGGAGTAGACATTCTGTATGGCGCATGCATGCATTTTAAAGAGGAGGCGTCACACTGCATGGTTTGTCCTCCTATGTAAAGTCATGCAGTGTGGCGCATGTATCTATTTTTAGAGAGGAGGTGTCATCTTCTTTGACTTGACAGTGATATTTATTAATTTTTTAAAATAAAATAAAAGTAATTAAAAATATTTTATATTAATATTTTATATTACACAACGCATAGATATATTTTTTTTAGAAGTTCCCTCAACCTAAGCGGGTCTTAGTATGACATAAACGGCCTCGCCTTTGCCTTACCCCTTGTCTCACTTCTCTCTGTTGATTTTCCTGAGGTGTTTGGGGTAATTCTGACTCGCTTGATTATGAGGTGCTTGATGTGATGGTCCTGGTACATCAGGATCATACATCTCATCGATCATTTCGCCCCATTGTGTTGTGCTTCCAAAGAGATTGGTGTCCATGTTGTTGAAGTTTGGTCTTGATGGTTGGGATATGTGTTGAATCGTGGTGGAAACGAAGCAACGGTTCATGTGGTGTATAAAATCCGTATGATGGTTGGGTACTTCGATGGTGTGATGTTTGACTGTATGTAGGTTGGATGGTATGGTAGGAAGGAGATGTATCATATGTGTCTTGGGTGTTATGGTAGGATGAGGATGGTGCATATTGTTGGTGGTGGGTCGGGTCATGCTCTTGGTATTGTGTTTGTGTGTGTGGCATAAATTGATGACGGGTTTGGTTGAATGAGGTGGTGTATGGTTATTGGGTTTGAGTGGGTTCACATTGTGGTTGAGTTTGGTACTGTTGAGGGGTTGGTTGTTGGGTTTAGTATTGTTGAGGGGTTGGTTATTGGGGTTGTTGTTGGGCGTATGTTGCAGCTCTTTGGTGTGGGTCGATCAAATATGTCTCTTGAGACAAAAACAAATTTGTGAAACCGATGTGTACCATCTCAAATATTGGAGCGTCGATTTTAAGTCATCTTGCAAGATCGGCTCCCTTAGGATAATTCACGTTTATGCCTCCATTGACGACATTGATTTTTAGCGAAGTCTCTCAAATCGTTAAATCCCCATTGTCGTCAACTCTGAGTAGATGTTATTGTCCCAAACATGTTGGGGGATCGGGGATACCTTGTTGCATGCTGAACTGTAGCTTCACACGATCACTGTGGTGCATCTCCACAGTAGTGAACCTGATGAGCGTTGTTTTTGCAGTCCAGACTTCAACATTAGGTGGGTTAATCTCATGGTCGAGATCCTTATATGGCCTCTATAAAAATTGTAGAGGAAAAAAAGTTATATAAAATATTAAACTTAATTAACCTATTGAATGCATTGTATAAAATATGCAAGTTTAATACCTCTCCGGGTCCAACATGATCAATAAGATTTCAGTATACTACTATTGTGTTTCTAGGGAATTTGTTGTAATTCATCCCAGGAACAGACCACCTACATAGAAAAAATGGATAATAAATTAATACATGTTGGTTACAGTATATAGTATGTAAAATTTATGGTTTTGTAATCTTACTTTGTAGCAAAGGAGAAGACGAATGGCCTTGTGTTGCAGGGGGCGAGTGTTGGCATTCTCGACCAGCACCATGTCTGGAGCAAAAAGGCGCAGGAATAGAAAGAACAGCTACCGTTCGATGCATTTTCACACAACGAACTATACAGATGGGCCGAAATAGCAGAACCCTAACTATATGTGTTTATTTTATCAAATTGTCTTAACAAGGGTAAATACATGATATTAACAGTATTACCCGTTGTTTCAGGAAATAAAAAATGGCCAAATAATATCATTATGTAACGCCGAGCTTTCACAATTTTTTCTTGCTCCGTAGAGTTTTCGTTTATTACGAGACTACTATGATATTCTCTAAGAAGACGGAGATTAATACCTTGGCATCTAAACCCTTGTTCAAATAAAGAGACTCCCAAAAGTTCCTCGCATATGGCATTGTCTTGGTTTACTCGACCATTGACAGCCTTACCATCGATCGGTAGACTGAATAACATGTACACGTTCTCTAGTGTGATTGTACATTCACCACATGGAAGATGAAAGGTGTAAGTTTCGGGTCTCCATCTCTCCACTAATACGAGAATAATTTTATAGTCAACATGGTAATTGACTATGTTGAGTAACGGGCCAAAACCGGCATGTCGTAAGTACCATTCAATTTGAACGTCGTAAGGGACATACTCATGGACACGGCAACAAAATCTTTTAACATCCTATTAAAACATGAATTACGTATAAGAAATACAAGATTTACGTATAACAATCATAAGAATTACGGAAATAAAGTTTGTCGACAAAAAATAGGTATTGAGGAAAATACACTTACAAAGGTTTCAATGTTATTGAGAGTTCCTCTATGTTGATCATCCATGTCAAGAGAGACATATTTTATTGATTACTCTTGTGTTGTTGTTGATGTTTAAAGAAAGAAATAGTGTGTGAGTTATGATTGTGATAAACATATAGGGTGAATGTTACATGTATTTATAGGAAAATCTTGAAGAACACTATGCATTCATGTGAGAATACTTTGCATGCAAGATATACACATAGGCGCCACCCTAGCTGGCGCATCCTCTTGTTTAATACACATAGGCGCCACACTAGGTGGCGCATGCTCTCTTTGATACACATAGGCGCCATTCAACATGGCTTGTTGCTTTTTGCATGCATGCAAACTTGCAGCATGGCAGGGATTAGATGACATGCATACAATTTTGTTGTTCAATGACAAGCCACCCTAGGTGGTGCATGCATGCAAAAAGAATAGGACAAGCCACCCTAGGTGGCGGATGCATGCAAAATATAGAGTACATCCATACTTTCATCAGTCTATTTAATCGTCTGTGTATGGTGCATTACTAGTATACATCCATAACTCACAAAAAAACATTCCTCAACAACATGGATCATTCACAAAATTATATTATTGTTTCCCATATTAACGGTGAGACGTCCAACTGCGATAGCTGAGGTTTTAATTTCTGTAATACCAATTTTATCCGCTTTCGGATAAA